AGAATCATAAGTCTGTGACGGAAACAGCGAGGGAAAAAATTGGCGACGGAAGTTCCCTCGCAAAATTCAGGATCTGAAAATTACAACTGAAATTTCACAATTTCCCTCACAAATTCCCTCGCAAATTGCGAGGAAATATATTCCCTCTTCAATTCCCTTGCAAACTGCGAGGGAATAAATTCCCTCGCAATTTGCGAGGGAATATATTCCCAATTTCCTCGCAAATTGCGAGGGAATTTGAGAAGGAATATATTCCCTCACAAAATTCAAAAATAATATATAAATCAAATTTAAAAGGGACAAGGGCATATATTGGTCGCCGCATCATGCGTATGAGAAAAAATCATTAAATATGTCGTCGCATCCTTTATAGCAGACATTGAATTTGTTGTGACAGTAGTGCCTATGTCAACTAGTCATAGGAAAGATAAGACTCTGTTGATATTTAAGGTGTGTGTAAAAAGTGTTCAATAATGAGAAGCAGAGAAAAATGTCTGAAAGATTCTTGTTCCAACCACCCTCGTCGTGATCACTGTACAAATTAAATGAAAAGTGACACATGTTTCCGATGCCACCAAAAAGGGCATTGGTCTTTGTAGTTGGGCTTTAACCACTTTATTAAAAGTCAAGTCCAGCCGAATAAAGAAAGCTAGGGTTCCCAATTCAAGATGTTCAGCAGCCTTTTGAACGTGCATGAATAGCATTTTGAAGACAAGGGAGTATGAAAATCAATCACTATAAGAGAAAATAGAGAGAGAGCCATTTCAGAAACTTCACATAAGAATTGAAGAAAGAGTAATCTTTCATCATTATACGATATATCTTATGTCCACCGTTGGATCGTGCTAAAATACTTTAAGTAAGGGTTGCGCTAATTATACTTTATATCTAACGGTCATTTTTTCGATTGGACCTCTAAAGATTCGTGCAACTGAAACAGAGGATGACAGTATTCATACTCTATTTTGGGCAGTAAGATTCGAAGGGGAATATCTTTTTGCTCAACTATTTGATTGTCCTCAATATTAGTTAGTCCCACCATGATGTTGGTACTTTTGTCAACACACATAATTGCTTCTCATGAAGAATACATGTGGTTTATAAGAAAAAAAATGCAATAGATTAGGTACAACATTGTCAAGCCTCATGTTTGAACCATGTTTCTTACTCTCGCCAAATAATGATTGGCGCAATATAAACGCTTGAATTATTTAATGTTTGAATATGATGAAAGATGGGAGGGAACAATCAAAGCCGAGTATTATAAATAATTGAATATCAAACAAATAATATAAATAAGAAAAATGTAATTAAAAGAAAAAAGAAACAAATACGTAACTTTATCGTAAAAAAAATTTAATAATTAAAATTTAAAAATGTGATGATTAGTACCATTAATTAAAAAATATATGAATAATATTATTATTTTTTGCCATTATTTTAAAATAAACGGATCCTTCTCCTTAGTGTAATTTGTAAAAAAGTTTGTAAACGGAGATAAAGCCTTATTTTATACACAAAAAGTATGTTAATAAATATTGGAAATAAAATTAATTATTTTAGAATATTTTAATTAAATGAAATTTCAATTATTATTATACATTAAAGAAATTATAATTAAAAATTTACATTGAAAAATAAAGTATGGTAAAAGTGAAAATAAAAAAAATTAATTATTAAAATGTAAGGGTATAGGAAAGCAGGATTCGAACCCTTTCCTCAAATCAACTTTTGATTGTTGTAAACCAATTTGACTATTGGAACATTGTCATAAAACATCCCAAATTTTTATAGAATTCCCTTTTCCCACGTTTTGGTGTGCACAACCTCCCCTTCTTAGGTTTTCAATTTCCCTCTCATTCTCAAAACTGAAGTGAAGTGAAGTGACGGCATCAGCAACTCCTCTGTCTTACTTCACGCGATTTGAAAGCCTCATTTCTGCTCTCTGTACGGTTCATCCCCTTTCCTTTCTTTCTTGGAACTTTTATGGTCCGATTATTCGGAGAATCAATGTATTGATATGAAACTATTATTTTCGTTCATTATTGCTTTCATTGTTGATTATACTCCTTGAGTTCACTATTATTATATACTTATACAGAGTCCTACGCATACCACTTGCTGAAATTTGTGTGCATTTATGATTGTATCTGTGTTTGGTGCATCTCTGTTCTATGGTCACGATTTTAAGTAGCTCTACTAATATATGTCTCCTCTCTGATATTTCATTCTTTCTCTCTCAAACTTGCTGTGACTAAAGTTCCTCTTTTCCTCCCCTAATTTATGCTTGTACAGAATGTGATTTATTTAATGGGCCTTTCTGCAATTTATGAATTTTCTGTTGTGTAGATTTTCTCAGACTGTTAACGTTTGGTCAGCTTAGGATTTAGAAAATTTTCAATTTGTTACGATTGATTCATAAATCTGGTCTAGCCTTATTTCTCATTTTGATTCGGATGTTTAATTGTGACAGCTGCTGCATAAATCAAATTCTAAGTATGGCAGATTCTGATGAACTCGCCAAATCTGCTGAAACCCAGCAATCTGAACAAGGTATGTCTGCTTATTTTATCTATAATTTGTTAATCTTTGTCTTTACATTAATCTTCTTTGCCTTTGCTCTCAGCTTTTGTGCTTGTTACTATCTTCAATTCTTTTATTCTTTGCTATATTTTGTTTATTTATAATGTGCCGCTTATGCTCTTGTCTCCTCCGTCGCTCTGGTCTCGCTCTGGTCTCACTTTTCTTTTCTACGAATTCATGTTTGATTTGATGCATCATCGTCTCATTATTATAGGAATTTCAGTTTTTCATTTCACGGTTTTGAATTTCAAATGCTGCAGACTCAGCTCATTAGAATTGAACTAAGAGTACCTGAATACGGTTGGACTTCATTGTCAACGGAGGTTTATTGCAGCCGTCACTAAACCCTAAGCATAGCCCCTTTCTCCCTTCGTCTTTGATCAGCTCAGGTTCGTATTCATAATATTTTTCTTGTTTGTTGAGCATGCTTTTCTGCCGATGTATACTGGTTGTGCGCACTGAGGTTAAACAAAATGTGTTTTCGTGTTACCAATTACAAGCTAGGAATTCATATTCAATGACAAACTTGATTCGATTTATCTTTATGGATTTAACTCCATATTAGTTCTTTTGCAATAACACCTTTATGTTTATAAAATAAGTATAGAAGTAAAGTTCTGCATCTGTTATGCCTTTAGTTGAAGTGAGCGTTAGTGAGACAATATATCTATGTGCACAATATTTTCAATCTCCCTCTGCTGACGCTGGTTTGTGAATTTCATTTACCTATGTTGTACTTTTGTTCTTTCTTCTATGATGCAATTGATTGATGCTTCTTCTTGTTGTTGTTGTTGTGTATCTCTTTTGCTTGATGATGGGTTGACTTTATTTGTGGGCGTTTTCGTTGGTCTAGTGAATTTCACTTTGTGGGAATTTAGTGAATGGTTTTGTAACTTTGAAGATGAAGGTATTTGTAGGTGATTGAGGTGGCATACAATTTGAATCTATTTTTTTTTTTTTAAGTGATCTTTGTCATGATATGTCAAATGCTCTTTAACCTTGTGAAGAAAAAGAAAAAACAAAATGTATCTAGGGTACCCCTTTTTCTTTTCGCTTTCCCTATTACAACTTTTCAAAAATTATCTGTTTTCTATCTGTGATCTTGGCTTATCAACTCTTCTTTCGGGTACATATACATGTACATATACACGCGTGCGTTCTTTTCTGATTTTTTCCTAATCCTGTATACTGCAATAGCAATTGATAGTTAGAGGGAAATAATTATACTACTGCTGAGATTTATTTGCTTTCATGAAACTAGGCTTTCTACTGAATGAAAAGTCTGCTGAAACGAGATCTTTAGGATCAATATCTTGTATTTATTTATATTGTGCATACATCCCTATGGTAAATTTTCAGAAGCTGTTTGCTTAGGCAATCTCAAATAACTTAAATAGTTTTGTTTTCCAATTTTCTCAGAATTGTTTATGTGATTTATGTTGACAAATATATTGAGGCTTAGAAAGTTGAAGATATACTGCTGTATAGCTTACTTAATATATTGAGGCTGCCAATATTCTACGGTTAGCTGGTTAGGTTCATGCCTTTTGGTTTTGTTCTTCCTTTATAGTGCCTAAGTAATATTAACTTGCTTTTGGTTTACGATGTTTTTGATTTCTCATGCTTTATACTGTTATGGCCCATCCCCTGCCCCAATTCCACTTTGTGAATCATCTGTTTTAAAAAATAAGTTATTAGGAATTGGAGACATTGTCTCTTCAAATTACACAGGCAACTGTAATGAATTAACTAGAGAATGTGAATCATATTGGATCATGATACTACATTATATATGTGAATCAATATTATCACCCTTATCGTCTAAAATTTAAACCAGTTCTATAAGAAGAAGAATACTAAGCACTTATAAATATTTCAAGTTAAATTTAAAACATAAATAATTATAAATTTAAAAATAATATATCATTTCATATAAAATAAAGCATGTGTTTATGACAAGTATTAAGTTAGTAAAAGATCAATAATCAATATAATTTTTACTAATAACAAAATTAAAGATAATGTTTAATAACATGAGTAATGCTGACCGATGAAACAGATTAGGTCCAACAAGTGTTGAAATTGCATGCTTGTATGCCCTTTATACACATTACCTATTTGCTTGTTTGAATGAAAAATAATTGCATGCTTGTATTGTGATGACATAGCTGTATATATGTAATGCCCCATGTTGCATAGTATGCCCCCTATCTTGTGTACTTTCCCATTCTTTGTTTGCTCCCCCTAAATGCATGTCCCCATTTTCTGGTGTACTACCCTCATTCTCTGGTTGCTTGCTGGACTTGTTGAATGCATGTATTTTTTTGCGACTTGCTGTAGTACGTTGCATCATATATGTGGCAATTACTTGGTGTTTGCTGGTATTTGAATTCCACACTTACTATATAATCAGGAGTATGGAAGACAATCATGATAGGAGTTGGATGTACAATCGGCTAACTGATAGAAGACAACTAACTCGAGAATTCTTGGAGGGTTTGGAAACGTTCATCCAATTTGCTCTGGAGCAAATAGGTACATCAAGTGACGTTATCAGTTGTCCGTGTGTGAAATGTAAGTGTTTTAAATTTCAAACGCCGGACCAAGTCAGGGAGCATCTGTGTAGAAAGGGCTTCATGCCTGACTATGAATGTTGGCATATCCATGGGGAAATTCGGCAGGCACATGCTATTCCAGGAGGTTATTATGGGGAAACTAGTCAGCGAAACAACCTCAATGAATATGAACAGTTGGTTATGGATGCTGCGGGACCGTCTATTGGGCAAAATTTTGAACCCGATACTCATGCCGAACCATCCAACATGGCAGAGGATCCTAATCCGGAAGCGGAAAGGTTTTACAACATGCTTCAAGATGCTCAACGTCCATTATGGGAAGGTTGTGAACATATTCAACATACTGAACATACAACGCTATCAGCAACCCTAGCAACATTACAGTTGAAGAGTGATCACCATATGAGTGAGTCTGCTTACAACGGTTGGATGCAACTCATGCATCAGGTTGTTCCTAAAGACAATAATTTGGCGAAGGATTTTTACCAAGCAAAGAGAAAAGTGAAAGAGCTTGGGCTCGGATGCACAAAGATTCATTGCTGCCCCAAAGGATGTATGCTATATTACGGTGATTACATTGAGCGCACCAAATGTGAGTTTTGTAAGCATGACAGGTACAAAGTTGTGAGGGACGGAAGGAAAACGACACGTGAAGCCTATAGCAAGATGTGGTACTTTCCTCTTGTGCCTAGACTTAAAAGATTGTATGCTTCTGAACAAACAGCTTGTCACATGAGATGGCACCGTGAGCATTGTAGGGATGAAAAATATGTGACACATCCATCAGATGCCGAAGCTTGGGTTCATTTTGATGAGGCGAATCCTTCGTTTGCAGCGGATCCACGTAATGTGCGTATTGGTTTATGTTCGGATGGGTTTGCTCCTTTCAATCAGACGGGTAGGAATTATTCTTGTTGGCCCGTCATTGTGACGCCGTATAATCTCCCACCTTGGATGTGCATGAGAAGAGAGTTCTTGTTTTTAACAGCATTAATTCCTGGACCTGCCAATCCAAAAAAGAAGATAGATGTATACCTCAGGCCTCTGATAGACGAGCTGAACATGTTATGGAGTACAGGGGTTCTGACATATGATGTATCGTTGAGGCAGAATTTCACCATGCGGGCTGCCTTGATGTGGACAATAAATGATTTTCCAGCATATGGGATGTTGAGCGGATGGCAGACATCAGGGAAGCTTGCATGTCCGGTATGTATGGAACAAAATAAGGGTTTTAGCTTGCAGCACAGTCACAAGGTGTGTTGGTTTGACACTCATCGACGATTCCTGCCACTCGATCACCCGTATAGGGGAAATAAAAAAGACTTCAGGAGAGGTGTTGTCGAAAGGGCAAACGCACCTCGTCGTTTAAGTGGCCAAGAAATATGGGAGAGGGTGAAGTACATTTCAAGTGTTGAAGAGATGCCTGCTTCCAACGACCCTGAGGGATATGGCGATGATCACCATTGGAACAAGCGTAGCATCTTTTGGGATCTACCATATTGGAAAGATCAATTGTTAAGACACAACCTTGATGTTATGCATATAGAGAGGAATGTGTTTTGCAATATTTTATATACTGTGATGGACACCAAGGGAAAGACGAAGGACACTTTAAATGCAAGACTGGACGTAAAGGCGATTTGCAGAAGACCTGGTTTAAATTTGGTTGAAACTCCAACCGGGCGGACTTTGAAACCTCAAGCGCCGTACACACTGAATAAAGTCCAGAATTTAGAAATGTTGCGTTGGGTTAAGGATCTTAAATTCCCAGATGGTTATGCATCCAAGTTGTCGGGGTGTGTTGACATGAACGGGGCAAAGTTATTCGGTATGAAGAGTCATGATTGTCATGTTTTCTTTCAGAGATTGTTGCCGTGGGCTTTCAAAGCATTACCGAAGAAAGTGTGGAGTGTATTGACCGAACTTTCAATGTTCTTTAGAGAAATTTGTGCTTCTCAACTTAATGCTGAAAGGTTACGACATCTGGAGTCGAGCGTGCCAACACTACTATGCAAATTAGAGATGGTGTTTCCTCCTACGTTTTTTGACTCAATGGAACATTTGCCTGTTCACTTGGCTTATGAAGCAAGGGTTGGAGGTCCACAACAATATAGATGGATGTACCCATTTGAGAGGTTAGTTTTTTTATCCAAACATTTAATTATGTCACACGATGCTACCTAAACCCTAAACCCTAATATCTATTCATAGGTTTGTACGCACACTAAAGATGAAGGTCAGTAACTTGAGGCATGTTGAAGGATCTATCGCCGAAGCGTATCTCGTTGAAGAGACTGGTAAATTTGCATCGTACTATTATCCTCCTGAATTTATATCAACTTGGAGAGGAGTCCCTCGAAATGATGATGGCGGTGATACGAGTGGTCAGATATCACTATTTAATTATCCAGGCCGATTCGTGGGAAGGCAAAGGGCATCAATTCTAGAGGGACGGGATAAGAACGTTGCAGAGTGGTACATTCTAAACAACTCACCAGAGGCCGCTCCGTACATAGAGTAAGATTTCATTTTTGAACTTAGAGATGATGTTTCCATTACGCGACTATATTTGGTTTATGGGTAGTTATCCTCATGAGTTTTATAATATTTTTTTTCCTTACAGAAACTTTTCCAAATGGACACGTTTGAATAATCCTTTATGGTCAGATTCCGAAGTTGATCAACACGTTACGTCTGAATTTTCTCAATGGTTTGAGGAGTACTTCATACAAAACCAATCGGCTGTCCATGATGTTGCATATATTTTATCAAGTGGAGCTGCAAGAATTGTCACCCGATTCAGAAAATATATAGTCAACGGATATAGATTTGCAACTGTAGAAGCGAATCAAAATATGTCATGTTGTAATTATGGTGTATGTTGTCGAGGTGGGCAAGTCGACGGTGCTGAGGGCGATTACTACGGGAAGTTAGTTGATATCATTCTTTTGGATTACAAGTTGGGCAAATCGGTTACTCTCTTTAAATGCGATTGGTTTGATAACACCTCACGTGGGACAAAAGTTGACCAGTATGGAAATGTTGAGGTCAATTGGTCATGGAGTTATGCACTTGGCTACGACCCATTTATACTTGCTCAACAAGCGGAACAAGTTATTTACACATTATACCCTACTTCCCAACAAGGGTGGAGAGGAGTTATCAAAACCAAAGCCCGGAATATTATCCCTAAGTCGATGGAGTCAGACTCAAATGATGTGACTGATCCATTTCAGGATGATGGGGAACATGAACTGCCTGTAAATGTTGCAGAGGATGATGTGCCAAGCAATCTTTTTGATTCCGCTGCAGAGTTAGAGTTAATTCCTGTTATATTGGACAATGAGGAATCAGATGATGATGAACAAGATATTTATTCAGATAGTGAGCCTGAATTCGATGATTATGAGAGTCCAGAGGAAGGTGGGCAAGAAGAATTCAAAGAACAGGAATCGTCCGATTGATTTCAGTTATTCTTTCTTTAAGCTTATCTGTTGTACTAAATAAATAATTTTTATTCACAGGCCACTTGTTATATGTATTATACAATTATGTTTTATATTTTTAATCTTTTAGGATCTCTGTATGGTGTATGTATCTATTAGTGACAAATGGATGGCCATAGTGGTAGACGTCGTATTGCATACTTATTATATTTATATATATTTTTGCATTATGTTTATAAGTTTTCACAGATGGTTCATACGGATGGGCGTACTGGTAGTGATGGTAATGTCGGTAGAGGTCGAGTTACAGGCCGTGGTGGCAGAGGAGGTAGGACGACATCATCTACCCCCTCTGGTAGAGGTCGTACAGCTTCCTCATCCCTCCCTCCACTTCGGATAGGATCATCACCATCTACCACCGACTCTGTTATGGGAAGTGCAGGACTTCCTCACACTCCCACTGACCCGATGGGGCCGACACAGCAGGTTAAGTAAACCAACATTTTGTGATTTAGATATATATTATAGTTTCTTTTAAGCATCTCTGTACTAACTTTTTTAATGCTTAACATTTTTTCCCTTTTGCAGGTTGCATCCCCTGCAAGCGAGGTAGGAGATGCTGCTTCAGCATTTCAGCCAGAGTGGGGGAGGTGTGATCCACAGACTAAACGTATATGGGTTCGTCCTCTAGGCACCACAGAGTAAGTTGTAATTGTTACTAATTATGTACTAATGTGGATTCTAGCATTGCTCAATCGTTATAATAAAATAAATTGATTTAATATTGTCAGGTTCGAACCTTATGATGAGATCATGAAATACATTGATAATCAAATATTCCGTAATTTTAAACATGTATGGAGCACCTGGGGAGACGTTCCTAAACAAACTCGAGATGGTTGGATGAATGAATTTCTGGTAAGTTATGTATATCTCGTTAATGCTAATGTTTTATTACAAAAATGTATACTAACTACACATTTGTGGCCAATTTGTGCACTAATCGAAAAAATTGGCAATTTACAGAGTCATTATAGGTGGTTGCCCGAGGATCGCCATAACCTGGCAAGAGCTTGGCATCACAGAGCCACCACAATGTTCGCAGATAAAATGCATAAAGTAAGATTTGACATCGGCAAAAATGCATGGTGTAGTGAATCATTAAAAATCCAATTGAAAGAAAAATGGAAAAATTGTCCTAAGTTTCAAAAGAGATCTGCTCAAAATAAGGAAAATAGGGCCAAGCAGGACACACCCACATATGCTGGAGGGTCGATTCCAATCAGCAAGCATCGACAAAGAATAGTAAGTATAAAAAGTTTTCTAGTTCGGTATTCCACAATTCGTACTTGCAACTAATGAATTAATGATTTTCATTTGTATTTCCAGGAGGCTTCTGGAGAAGTGCCGCCTGAAAAGGTTGATTGGGCTACCTTCGAGCAAACTCATTCCCAGCAGCCTGAAGCTGGTCAAAGGCGGTGGTTAGGCCCCAAAGTGAAGCTAATAGCGGTTTGATAATTTATTATTTGACGTTTGTTTTTTCTATGATGGTTTATGTCATGTTTTACATGTCCATATGTGTGCTGATTTTTCTTTACTTGCAGGAAAATTATCAAAAACTTGAAGAGGAGATGTCCGCACAGGTGGCGACAGACGGTCAATCCAGCTCCTCCTATTCTGATAATGGGAACATGTTGGTTACAGCTGCAGGTGGATTCAACAAGAAAGGAAGGGTGGTCGGGCTGGGAGGATATGCTAGCCGACTGAGGCCTAGTAAGCGGCCCTCTACCCAGATTGACAGTGTTTCTACAGGTAAACTCAATGCATAGTTAATTCTTTTATATTTTCAATCTCTATTCTATTAATATTTTATTTTAAACAGTTAACTTAATGTTTTATAATAATGTATTTGCAGATGAGCTTAAAAGGATAAGGGTGTCCCACTCCCAGATGCAGGAGCAATTGCATGCTACGAAGGAGCAATTGCATGCTACGACAGAGCAACTAACTCAGCAAGCGGACTTTATGAAGCAGCAAGCTGACATTATGAAACAAATGCAGGAACAACTCCGACTTTTAATGCAGGACAAGGAAGCCAACTGCAACAAATCGAAGGGACCGGCGCCGGATGATGATCCTGATGATGATGACGACTTTGCTAGGAGTTTAGAGGCATACTAGTTGTTGTTTGTATGTTTTACTTTTTTTAGGACTTCAGACATATATCAGATATTTTTTGTATGTTTTATTTTGTTTAGAACTTTAGAGACATTTTAGTTGTAGATTTGATGGTTGGTGTTGTTCACTTTTGTTGATATACTATTTAATTTTAATTTAATTGTTTATCCAGTATTTTTTGGATTTCTGTTGCTCAATTTATGTATTTATGTTCATTTGGAATCCTTGTTGTTTACAGGAAAATTAAGAAAAGTTTAATATATTTTTTTATTTTAATTCCAGGATTTGTGGGGGAAATTTTTAAAATTCCCTTGCAAAATTTGTAGCATTTTGCGAGGGAAAATAAACATTTTCCCTTGCAAAATTCGTAACATTTTGCGAGGGAAAATCAAAATGTTCCCTTGCAACTTTTGCAACGGAAATTTAATACACCCCTTGCAAATTCTGCTACGGAAGTTTGCAAGGGAAATTATACTCGAAATTTCGCTCGCAATCTGCGACGGAATGACTGTAGAGAGGTCTGTTATTTGCGAGGGAAATTTACTTTTTTGCAAGGGAACTTTTCCGTAGCAATTTGCGAGGGAATTTTCATATGACAAATTTCCCTTGCAATCTATTTGCGACGAGGGTTTTAGCGAGGGACGGTTTTCCCTTGCAAATTCCGTCGCAGACAGTTTTTGCAAGGGAATTTGGCTGTTTTGCAAGGGAATTTTTCCCTTGCTGATTGTGAATTTTCTAGTAGTGAGAGTTCGATTTTCACCAAATATAACTTAGAAAGGGAACAAAGAGCTTTAACTGTGAGTAAGCCCAGACGCAGGGTTAGTCTTATAGCTAGCTCAAATAGTTGAAACTTATAGGGATACCTGAGACTGAACTCACCTCAAAGAAAAGATTAGGATCAGTATAAAAAAATTGATCAATAGAGGCGTTGATCCATGTGCAATATGATCAATGAACTCCTCCTTTATATGAAAGGTGACAAAATTTATTGTATTTATTCTATAGGATTAATATTTCTCATAACACCTTTATGTGTGTATAAGAAATAAAATTATCTCCCATATATAAATAATAAAATGTACAAATTTTTAAAGGATCAACATATAAGTGAATATTATTGTTTGGGTGTTTGAAGTGAATATTGCTAAGTAGTGAAATTCAAATTTCATCTAATATATACTAGTAAAATAGAAATTGTCATAATACCTTGTTGTTGTAAAAGAAAAAAAGAAAAAGTGCTACAAATTTGTGTTTATTCAAGTGCAATGTTTCGACAAAATTTATGGCAGAAGGTCCTTAATTAGGAATCAATGTAAAGAAAGGATAACAATTCTTTCTACATGTTAAGCAAAGATCATAATCCATTTGGTGGACAAGATTGTGGGAATAGGTTGTTTGGTGAGCCAATAATATGTGATAAACTTGTTTTGTTAGTTCATTTTATCTTACTCATAACTTATAAGCTATCGTAAGTCCTAAGAGATTTAAGTTACTGGATAAGAAATTGGATAAGAAATTGTCTTGAAGTAGCTGGGTGAGAATATATATAAGAGGTAATGCTACGTTGCCACCATTGCCTAGCCATTGCTACCATGGTGTGCGTACAATAAAATTTTAACTCTATCCACATATTACGCCTAATGTGATTGATATGATTAATAATTATTTATATTTACTAAATGAATTAACTCATACTATAATTCAAATTAAATTACTTTATATTGTTTGTGATGTAAATTATTTTTCATGTTACATATATAAATATAAAAAATTAATTTAAAATATTTTTAAAAAATTATTTGATGAAAATTTAATTTTTGAAAATTTTATAAATTATTTTTTGTATTTTAATATATTATTTATAAAGTATAATTTTTAATAATGTAAAATAGGAATTAATGTATAAATAAGTGAAAATAAAGCATTTTAAAATCTACAAAAAAAAAAAGCATTTTAAAATCAATTTTAGAAAACTATATTAAGGCTTTAATGTTTCTATAGTGAACGTAGATAAGATATCTACATTCGCTCCCAAAATAATGTCATTTTGGGTTAAAAAATTTAAAAATATAATAAAAGAGATTATTATAACCCTGAAATAAATTATAATTATAAAATTACCTTAATTTTCGCCTTAAAACAACGTCGTTTTAGGGTCACTGTAGATAAATTATCTACTTTCGGTAAAAAAAGCGAATCCATATATTAAATTATGTTATAAATGCTAATTTTATTCTTTATAACTCACATCAAACATAAAATAGAATAATATAATCTTATCTTACATATTACGTACGCGTGTGAGTTTGTTAGGATTTTTATGCTCCCTTTCAGCCCTTTTATCCTGTGTGTACTCACTATATCTTATTGATCTTGGTTACCAAATTATCTTTATAATTAGTAAAAATGCAATGGCAACATTAACCTTAAATATGAATTGATAGACCCTATAATCCAACCTAATTCATTTGATTTGTTTTGAAATCTATAGTAGAAAATTCAAATCTAAGAGTAACTGACTTATCTATCGAGTACTTGCATGAAAGACTAAGATAATGATCTTAAAAAATATGAATTGATAGACCCTATAATCCAACCTAATTCATTTGATTTGTTTTGAAATCTATAGTAGAAAATTCAAATCTAAGAGTAACTGACTTATCTATCGAGTACTTGCATGAAAGACTAAGATAATGATCTTAAAAAATATTCAAAAGAGAGATTAGGATAATATCAAAAGCAAAATTTTGCCATCTTTTGAAACGAAACAGTCTCTCTCATCCGCTACCATTATTTAAGGGATACCCGCGCTTCTTTCTTTTTTCTCTCTCTGACCGTTGCATTTCTCGCTTTGACTCCTGTTTCTAAACCCGAATCCTTTGATTCTTAGAAACGCCAAAAGGTACCTGCCCTTCGTGCACTACTAGCTCTCTTTTTTTTTTTTTTTTTTCTGAGTTAAAAAAGTGTACTTTTTGTCCGTAGTTTGTCTTCTTCTCCTCTGTTCAGCGTGATTATCAATCTCTTTTGTTTCGTGTGGATTGCGGTTGGGGTCTAACGGGTGTTTCTCACTCGCATGCAGCTTCTTGTGGGCCTTTTTCGTGGGTTTTCACTTTTCATCGTGCTTTGAACGTTTTTGCTTAGGTAGTTTTTTTTTTTCTGTTTTTTTCTTATTTTGTTAATTTGTCACGTTAAAAATCTGATTTTTTTTGTGTCGTAGGTATTGGTCATGTTATTGCGTGAATTGGGTTGTTGTTTTCTGATAGCTTTGGCTTTTCTTTATTCAACTATTATTTTTTAACATTAGGATAGTATTAGTGTTGGTAAGGAGAAAATTCTGGGTTTGAATCATGGTTAATTTTCTAGGATGAATATTAAAAGTTTTTACATATACTTTTATTAAATAACAATTTTGCTGCTGAAGAAATTGTGTCCTTTTCTTATTTTACTATTGCTCCAGTTGTCCTATAGGTTTTCAAAATTGGTGTTGGAGATGCATTCGGAAGGTGGGGGTCTTAGGACACCAAAGATGGGATTGGAAGTTGGAGCTTTGAATTCGAAGATGAATGGTGGTGGAAACCTAAGCAGTAAAGATATGATGTTCAGAGCAGATAAAATTGATCTGAAGAGTTTGGATGCCGAGCTAGAAAAGCACTTGAGCAGGGTTTTGTCCAGAAGCATTGAGGCTAAAAGGCCCAAAGAAGAGTGGGAGATTGATTCAGCCAAATTGGATATACGATATGTTGTAGCTAATGGGGCCTATGGTACTGTCTACAGGGGCACTTATGACGGTCAAGATGTTGCAGGTATTTGCACTTTTAGGTTTTGCATCCTCCTTCTAGTGGGTTGTCTTTTTTGCTGAAAAAAAAGCAACAAAGAGAAATTAAAATGTGTATATTTAGGGGAAGAATCTGTTTATAAATTTTTTTTATAATTTTTTACAAATTATACTATGTATTCCCGAGAGAATATAATGTAATATAATGTTCTCTCGGGAGAACATAGTATAGTTTGTAAACAAAAAATTTGTAAATATAACCATTCTCTATTTTTAGATACTAAAAGGTTACGTAGGGTTTGTTTGAAATCTGTTTTGAAAAAACAGGTTTTTGATTTTTCATAAAAAATTAAATAAAAAAACTTGTTTAGTAAAAAAAATTGTGTAAAAAAGAATTTTAAAAAGTGTATATATTTTTTTATTTTTAGAATCAAATTTAGATGATATGTTTGAGTAATTTTTTATTTTTGTATTTTGGTTTTTAACTTTCAAAATAAAAAAAATATAAAACACTCAATTCCTTAACTATTCTACGAAATAGTTTTACGAAGAAAAAAAAAATCAGAAAATCAGACAGGTCCATATTCTCTCAAGATTTATTCTTTTAGCCTCAAACTTACAAGTTGATTGATTTAATTAGTTAAGGGGTATTTGGCAGAGGAAATTCTTTTTTACCTGGAATTCCGATTCTCGAAAATATGGTGGAAAAATGAGTTTAGGGGATGTTACTAAAAAATTGTTTGGTAGGCCAAGATATTCCTAGAAATATTGAATTAATTTTCTTGATACTGTGTTTGGTTGACACAAATTTCGTATCTAATTTTGCATTTACCCAAAAAATTCTGAATACTATCTTCTGGGTGGTATTTTTTAGTAGTATTTTGGTGTAAGTTTTACACACAACAAATTCTCAGAAAAATAACTTTCCCGGGAAAATTCTTTTAAATTGGGCTACCAAACATGATTTTCTAAAAAATCCAACCTCAATTTCCCATGCATATAAAAAAAATACTCCTACCAAACACCCATACTATCCATATAAATCACACTTAGTCTTGAATATTTTATGTTCGTAGAAATGCTAACTGAATTGTCCCGTTGAATTTTATAGTGAAAGTGTTGGACTGGGGTGAGGATGGTGTTGCCTCTGCTACTGAAACTGCTGCTTTACGAGCATCATTTCAGCAGGAGGTTACTGTCTGGCGGAATCTTGATCATCCGAATGTCACAAAAGTACGAACTTATAGTCTTCACACTCTCATGTATTCAAATTCATGAATGCTAGCAAATTCTGCATGCTTAGCCTATGTCCTCCCTTCCTTTATAAGGGGAAGCAAGAGGATCTTTCTTTTTTTTAAGTCATAATTCAGTTTTGTAATTGTATATCGTTCCTCCAACAGTTTATTGGAGCTTCAATGGCCACTTCAAATCCTAAGATTCCCTTAAAAGCTGGTCGTCAAGATTCCCTTCCTTCCAAGGCATGTTGTGTTGTTGTTGAGTATGTACCCTGTGGGACACTAAAACAATACTTGTTCAAAAATAGGCGGAAAAAACTTGCATATAAAGTTGTGATTCAGCTGGCGTTGGACCTCTCTAGAGGGTGAATCCCATTTTCTTTACCTTTACCATTGTTGATATCAATATTTTTTCCCCCCACTGAAATACAATGCTTTTTCCATTGCAGTCTTAGTTATCTACATTCGAAGAAAATTGTTCATCGTGATGTAAAATCTGAAAATATATTGTTAGATGCCAATCAAAATTTGAAAATTGCTGATTTTGGTGTTGCTCGGGTTGAAGCTATAAATCCAAATGAGATGACGGGTGAAACTGGAACCATTGGATATATGGCACCAGAGGTATCAATCTTGCGTTTAAATTTGCTTTAGATATTGAGTGGCTAAATATGAAAGTGTTATTTTCTATGACTTCAAATATATCGTTACATGTGACTGTGAGATAGGAATTCCCATTTCAAGAATCTTGGCCTTATGCTATGTGTAGGTTCTAGATGGTAAGCCTTACAACAGAAGATGTGATGTATACAGCTTTGGCATTTGCTTGTGGGAAATCTATTGCTGCGATATGCCTTATCCAAATCTAAGCTTTGCTGATGCGTCATATGCGGTTGCTCATCGGGTAAGTTCTTATAATTAACTATTTCTGTCTATCCTCGTACTCTTCCCCTATGAGCATTTAAAATTCCCACCATCTTGTCTCGACCTAGCATGATTTAGTCATTTACTTACATATATGTATATCCTATAGTAAACTCTTTTAGCTATTATTCTGACCACAAAAATTAAAAGTCTTCTGAACTAAATCTTCTTTTGGGTGTAAGAAGTTCATTGGGATTGAGAATGATTGTTATGTCACGTGATATTGATGCTTTCGTGCATGAATTGTATCTGAATTGTTCCGAGGTCTCTTTGTCCAATGTTTGAGTTATAGTTAATTTCATAGCTGTAATACTCATATGATCTAGTTGTAAGGTATTAGTACTTGGAGGCCCGCACAGGGAACATATGGTTCTGTTGTAGAGTTTATATGGACTTTGAGCTTTCCTACATTGCAAGCTAGCTTTTGGGATGAGGTTTTCCCAATAAGTTCTTCCAAGTTTTTACTATCAAGTAGTCTCTTGATTTTGTTATTACGGCTCCTTTTACAATTGCGTAAAGCTTCTTTCTTTATTTTTGATTTAATGTTTTTTTTTAATCATGGAATAGCCCTGATATGCTCGGCAAGTTCTACCATAAACTATCAATAGATTATCTGTATGTTTCTAAATGATCATGTGTATATATTGACACAAATTGTCTAGAATGATCAAAACTATAACTTTGAAACTCTCATTTCTACATGTCAAGGATTGCATAAAGTATTATTTAGACTGTGGCTTATGCATCATTGTACATAGCATCTTTTCCTAATTTAATGTTACCTATGATGCATGCATACGTGGACTTCATATTTGTTTGTGCCCTTGCGCAGAATTTACGACCAAAGATTCCTAAATGTTGTCCAAATGCCTTAGCAAACATAATGCGAAAATGCTGGGATGGGAAACCAGAGAGTCGTCCAGAAATGCATGAGGTGGTGAGAATGTTAGAAGCAATTGATACGAGCAAAGGAGGTGGAATGATACCCGAAGATCAGACTCCATTTTGTTTTTGCTTTGTACCTCTTCGTGGTCCCTAACTCTTCATATTCAATCCTTGATCAGTATGTCATTGTCTATGGCAATCTGCGACATAAGTTGCAGCTTGCAGGTTTACTACTTAACTTTATTTCCTGATAGAAGAAGAGTATGACTGTTAATATAGTATGGGTTTTATAAAAGTTATCATGTAGGAAAAATGATTCTGTTATGTTATAGATATTCGTTTTTTGTGCTATAGTTTTTTTTTTTTTTTTTGCTTCAAAAAATGCGAGCCCCAGAAAATGTTATGGTGTGTGTAGAAAATTTTTTATTGTCATGTTGCATGATGAATGCAAATCCCATATAGTATTCAGTATTGAAAACTCGTTTCATTAGTTCTTGAAGGAAAAGTTTGTAGCGCAGCTTTGTGAGTTGTGTTTAATTTTTTTGTTGGCAGGACGTTACGGCACTAGCATTACTTAAATGCGATTTAATCTCATGCAATACAAGTATAATGTGCTTGGTTGAATTATTATTTTTTAAGAAGCACAAAAATTCAGTGGGGATGCTATTTATTAATTGACATTTTTTATTTATCAATATACATAGATATGAGAACTGGTTAAAATTGTTACTGATATATTTTAAAAAAATTCCTAAATTTTGTGATATATAGAAACAGATCAGATTGAAATCATCCCATTAAATAATGCCAGTACAGCGACTAATCCATTGAACACAACTCATCATTGTTAAGCCTTAGTGTTAATTTTACAGCGATGAATTTAGTCCATTTCCATTTCTTGTTTTTGTTAAAATCAGGATACTTGGTAACGAGAATACCTAATTTTAGCAACGAACCTTGAAATTATTTGTGGCTGGGGAGCCACTTATAATTTTAGAAGCTATATGTACCTAGGAATGTTGTAAGATTAAGGACAGGGAAGGGAAGGAGCAATAAGAAACCAACAACAACAGCAAAAGAAAAAAAAGGGTGCGAAGCGAAATGGCAAACAAATACATTGTTGCATTGTTGTTGTTGTTGGTGTGCTTTGTCGTCGCAGAAGCTTACGATTATGTTGAGGCACCGCCTAGGTTCAGTCCCAGACAAAAATTTTGCTACAGGGAATGCTATAATCAATGCGCTTTTCCCGCACCCTTCTGCAATTGGTGGTGTTGTAAAGGCTGCATATTCCAAGTTGTCTTAGGTAAGTTATTTTGCTTCCATGTCATACAGCAATGATTAATTTATTAAGAGTAGTATGATTATTTTTTTTTATAATTACATTTTAAATTAGATCAGTACTCTTACCAAAACCTTCCTAATTTGATAAGACTTACAATAAATTAAAAATAGTAAATAAATGAAAATTAATTATTTTTTAATTTTTATTATTTAAACACGGGATTTAATTTACGAATCAAACCAAATCCAAATTATTTTTAAACATTTTAAATATGGGTTTTATTTTTCTTATGTTGCATGAGACAAGTTGTCTCATGCAACACACAAAAAGTGAATGGGACCCACTAAAAAAGAAGAGAGAGAAAATAAAAAAGTGGGTCCCATTCACTTTTTGTGTGTTGCATGAGACAACTTGTCTCATGCAACATAAGAAAAATAAAACCCTCTAAATATACTCATTTGTCTTTTTTCCTCTCCTCTTTTGGAAATGTGTATGGTAGGAAAAGAGAAGGGGAAATTAGTCCATTCCTGAATAGTCCCAAATTTTTTTGTTACGTCCAAATTCCTAATCTGAAGAGTAATATGATACTTTTGCTTAAAATAGAATAAGAAGATAGATACGTCACCTTAAGTTGAACTGGGCTTCGGCCAAGTTCTAGTGGATTTCAAATGTTTGGGTCTAGACCCAACTTAAATTTGATCCATTGCTGACGGTTAGGTCGGACACAAAGCCCACGGGCGAAGACATTTTTAGTCCAAAAAACTTAATACAAAAGAATATTTCAGTGTCACATTTATATATAAGAGCATCTTCTGTCCAACAATGCACATTTTTTTGTTCGATTTTGAAGAAAAATATCATATAGCAAAAGGTCAATTTTTTTTTTTTTTTAAAAATGGGGATTTAACAAAAAGAAAAAAAAATTGGAAACAGAGAATATGATACAAAATTTTGTTTGAATTGATTGTTTGGTATAGACTTCTAGACTTGATTCTTAATTTGTGTAAGTCAATCATGTAGACCTAATAATAGACCCAATGACCTAAAAATTAAGCCCAGTACTTGTCACTAAGGGTGTGCAAAAAAAATTGGTTCACTTGTCCTGCCCTTGATCCGACCCATAAATACCCATATTTTTTGAACTGGTTTAAATACTGACCCACTTTTATTTGGGTCAGTTTTCGACCTGACTCGTTTTAATATTGACCCACTGACCCAAAACTTGACCCATACCCATTATGTGAAAAAAAAAATCACAATTACATTAAAAGAAAAGTTTTAACGTAAAACAATTTCGTCAACATTTTTTATGGAAAATATTTTCATAAAATTTTTGCAAAAATTTTTGACGAAAAATATTTTCATCAAAATTTGTGACTAAAAACATATCGGTAAAAAAATTTGACGGAATATTTTTTTTGTCAAATTTTTTTACGGAATCTAAATTTCGTCAAAATATTTCACAAAAAAATATATTCATAAAATATTTCGACGAAATACATTTTCATCCAAATTCTTTGACGGAAAAAAATTTCATCAAAATTCTTTACAGATTTCAAATTTCGGCAAAAGTTTTCGACGGAAACATTTTCGTTAAACTTTTTGACAAAAAAAAATTTCGACGAAATTTTTAGCGAAACACATTTCTATTAAAAAAATTCGACTAAATATTTTCGTCAAGTTTTTTGATAAAGAATATATCCATCAAAATTTTCAACAGAACACATTTCTATAAAAAAAATTTCGTAAATTTTTTTGACAAAAACATTTCGATAAGAAATTTTGACAAAAAAAATATTTTGTCTAAATTCTTTAGAGAATTTAAATTCCGTCGAAAGTTTCAAATGAAACATTTTCTTCAAAACAATTTCCATTGAAAATTTCGACGAAACACATTTCCATCAAAAAATTTCGACGGCAAAAAATTTCATTAAAATTCTTTGCAGATTTCAAATTTTGGCGAAAGTTTTCGACGGAAATATTTTTGTCATCAAAAAATTTTGACGGCAAAAAGTTTCATCAAAATTCTTTACAGATTTCAAATTTTGTCGAAAGTTTTCGACGGAAACATTTTCGTCATCAAAAAATTTTGACGGCACAAAATTTTGACGGCAAAAAATTTCATCAAAATTCTTTACAGATTTCAAATTTCGGCGAAAGTTTTCGACGGAAATATTTTCGTCATCAAAGAATTTTGACGGCAAAAAATTTCATCAAAATTCTTTACAGATTTTAAATTTTGGCTACAGTTTTCGACGAAAACATTTTCGTCATCAAAAAATTTTGACGACGAAAATTTTCGACGGCAAAAAAATTCATCAAAATTCTTTACAGATTTCAAATTTCGGTGAAAGTTTTGGACGAAAAAATTTTCGTTAATTTTTTTGACAAAAAAAAATTTTCATCGAAATTTTTAGCGAAACACATTTCCGTCGAAAATTTTCAACTAAATTTTTTCGTCAAGTTTTTTGATAAAAAATTTCCATCAAAATTTTCAGCGAAACACATTTCTATAAAATAATTCCGTAGATTTTTTGACAAAAAAAACATTTTGACGAAAAAAACATTTTGTCAAAATTCTTTAGAGAATCTAAATTTCGTCGAAAGTTTCAAATGAAACATTTCCGTCAAAATTTTTGTCAGAACACATTCCCATCAAAATTTTGAACGAAAAACATTCCGTAAAATTTTTGACAAAATTCTTTTTTCGTTTAAAACATTTGATGGAAGAAATCATTTTCGTCAAAACTGTTGACGGAAACTAAATTTCAATAGAAATTTTTTTTTTTGTAAAAATTTCGACGAAAAAATAATTTTGTGACGAAATTTTCGTCTTTTGCAACGTAAAAATTTCGACAAAATTTTGTGAGAAAACCAAGTCAAAAACGGGTCAGGTCAGATTTGACCCAGTTCAGAAACCAAGTCAGGTCAGATCCAAACTGGTTCTGAACTAGTTCAACAAAATCCAATCCAAGTCAGACCTGACTTGGATCAAATTAAAGCGGGTCGGGTCAAAATACCTGACCTATAAAAACCAAGTTGGGTCGAGTCAGACAAAAACCTGACCCGACCTGACCCATGCACAACCCTACTTGTCCCACTGACCTGGACCATGTTGGTCATGAATAGATCTAATCCATAAAAAAAGGAACAGCTTAAATATGCTCATATTCATGTCTAGATCGTGCTGTATATTAAAAGTTAATTTTTTTCCCCCAAAATATAAATTTTTGTATTTAATTATATATTTGTTAAAGGAAAAAATATTTGTCTTTTTTTTTTTTTGGAGTTACCCAACCCTAATTATCTCTTTGAGACGAGTTGCTCCCTCCGGTATCCCCACGAGCTTCGACTTTTTGAGCCGGCTATGGGAAAAAATATTTGTCTTTTAAACGATATAAATTTATACTATTTTAAATTAAAAAAAGACACAACTTATTATATTTATAAATACTAAATCCTTTTTTTAAAATATAATTGTTTAAGGAAAAAGAGAGAGACATTATTTAATAGTAAAAAACTATTATGATGTTATATAAGATAAGTTTTCTTTCCTATACATCACTTAATAACTATGCAGTCTTTTTTTTCCCTTTAAAATGGTGGGCCCACATTTTTGTGTTTATGACATGAGATAATTATCTCCTTTAACATAAGATTAATAACACTTTTTTTTTGGTAATCAATAACACCCTATTTAATATTATATAGCAATACAGATAACACATTTTTATTTTTATTTTGGTAATAGATAACACATTTTTATTTGGAATAAGTTATAGTTACTATCTCTTTTTGTTACTACTTGTTACTACTAAATCGTAACCGTTGATTTTTGGCAATTTAACGATTATAATTTATTGGAAATTAAT